GATAGCTCTATTTATATACTTGATATAATATTGGGTTGAGTATATGACGTCATCAGTTATCTCATTTGCATATTTTACACATTTTTCGAACTTAAATATCTCTGGAATGAATGCAGATATTTGCAAACGGTAAACAGCGTTTTTATTCTTTCATGCCATTCTATGCGATACACCAAAAAAAATCAAGGGGTAAAAATTTGATCATAGTATCACTTTAAAAGTCTTAAATTTTTATTGGTCTAAACAGATGAAACTCAAAAGGGAGCTGTCAAAAATGTTAAGTGTCAAAGGTATGGCTCGTAATTGTAACACATTTGAACAAAACTGTTTTCCAGTCAGAATGACAGCTATTGTTACATAGTTACATCCGTATGGAAAATCACTGCAATGACAAAAAGACATACAGTGTCTAATAAAATGAGTTTTGATGGGAGGTATCAGTCCATGAAGTCTATCAGGGTATTGGAAAAAAGAAAAAGAATCTTTAGTTAGCAACCACACGTCTGTACAAAAATGATGCCGCCTAATTACAAATTGGCCTAATGAACTGTAAGCACAAGTGTATGATAAGCAAGGAGAGGCAGGTCAATGGTATGTACATTCTCCTACTTTGTGTAAGGGTTTGTTGTCTTTGTTATAGTTTTTAATCTTTATACGTACCCACTGTTTTAAAGGAGTGTACTTTCCAGTCAAAGCTTTCAACACTTCTTGGCCTACAATTCCACCAAGAGAGGCTGCTAGGGGTGAAAAACACCCTTGTGATGTGAATGCCAAATGGCAAAGTAGTTTTTCATCTAAACTGTCTGCCTAGAAAAACAAGAACATGATGTACCACCATTTTAGACCTTAGAAAATTATTTTGAAAAGCTACTCTTCTTCATCACACAGTGTTTTGAGTGCATGCGCACCTACACAATATTTCCATTATTCAGTTACAATCTTCAGCAGCATTTGACTTCAGCATTTCATATGTTCTCAGCAATGCATTGTGCTATTCCAAGCTCCAAAATTGCTTCGACAAATTTGCAATACGTATTACTTAAAGTAGATACCAGTTGAGAAACATTTAAAGAAGTANGGGGGGGGGGGGGGGGGGGGGCAATCTCATTTAAAAGGATGGGGGTGCTCGTCGTACCTTTTTGGAACCCCTTAGGGTGTTCAGCCTTAAAAGGTCCACAGTGGAAGCTTTTGCAGTACCTTTTAGGGTAGTGAGCCACAAAGATATGACAGGAGACAATGTGTTGTTTTAGAATTGGTGAAAAATTTCAAGCCACACCCACAAAACAGAATCTTGCTTCGCCCCCCTCTTGGAAACTTTTGATTTGATCTCAAAATCTTGGAATGCTTCAATGAGCCTTGTAGTCTTGATTTTTTCCGTGTTTCTTTCTGTACTCAGACCTTATTGTTTAAGACTCACTCTCAAACTTTCAAATACGGATCTTGGCATCTCTGCAAGTCTCTGATTTTACCATTTGTTAGCCCTAATATTAGTCCAGTAAAGAAGGAAAAACAATGAAAAATGATATAATTTTAGTATTACCAGTACTTGACGTGGTAACTTTCACATGTCACTGACTACACTTGTAAAATGGTTGTATGGTGATCTATTAATCTAATTATTTTTACCTGATCTCAGGTAATCTTCCATACTGCTCTTCAAACAAGTGTAGAGCATGTATTCCAAAGTGCAGCTGCAATGGCACCTAAACAACAAACAACAAGATGACCCTTCCTAATTGAGCACCTTGAAAAATAGAGAATGGTGCAAGCTTTAAGACACAATGGACTTTCTCAACCAGAGAAGTTCTGGAATCCACATTCAGGGAGATGCTACACTTTGTACAAAATAACTTCTTCCTGACCCTAAAACTGGAGAAATCCCTTCAATTGTATGTGGCCCTAAGTTTAGTTCATTCATCTAAAGTATGTGTTTGGTTTTTCATACTCCACCACATGTATCTAATATCACCCAGACACCTTGAGATAAATACAGTAGACCCTTAAACTGTTTACAAAGTAATAGTAAATGTTGATAGATAAGCCACCAAAACATTTCTCCTCACCTCCATCTTACTGAGATCTGCTGTGAGGATATCTGGCTTCCTAAGCTGTGTCTCAAGTGATTCCTGTAAAAGTGAATAATTAAACTATAATAAGAAGTCAGATTTTAATAGAAAGTTTCAAAGGACTCAAAGCCTTTCCCTCCTACAATGTAATCATCACAAACACTGCCTGGTAGCTAAGTGGGTCCATACACTGTTTTGGAGAGAATATTAAGAATGCCAACCAAAGGATTTTTTAATGATGTTCAAACTGCAAACAACCCTCTGAAACTCCTTAGAATGGGCTAAATTGTGTTCAACCTTATTCAGCTGCAGTTCTGGAATGAATGCTCCCCTCTATCATTGAGCTTGTTTCAATTCTTAGATGCATGTTGTAAGAGTATGCTCTGAGAGTTGTGATGGTCAATTTATTAAGACATACTGGATAAAATTAGCAGCTGCAAGCTTAATTTCAAACATCTGTAAGTGCATAAAGATGCATCATCACATGACAAAAAAGCATAAATAAATAAATAAATATACACTGTATAAATAAACAAATAAATAAATATATAAATAAATAAATAAATAAATAAATAAAATAAGATGTTTTGATCAGTCACTCACAAATGTTATCAAAGAAGAAGAAGTCTTGACTTGTCTTGCTATTCCACCATATTGATAAGCATCATACTCTGGTCCAGTGGTGTCACAGATGCTGAATGCATATGGGGACAGTACTGCAAATTATTAATAAAACATCCATTAATATCATTTTAGAAAAAGCCAAATCACTTTAAATTGCTATATATAATCAAGTCATTATTACAGGCTGACAATGCTTCTGTTCTCTGCATACTTGAAGTCATGATGCCCACGTAAGTCTACTCTTGAAACTGTGCAAAACCTAGTACAATGGATTGATTGGTCTGTGTTTGAATTTTGATAAAGTGATGCTAAGTTGTTGTGTCCATGGGCAAGACACTTAACTGTCACAAAGCCTTTTGCCAACTAGGAGTATAAAAGTTTACTGGCCAGTAAGCTGTTAGAACAACCTGACAAAATGCTGGGGTATAAACTGCAAGGAACCAAGATCCCATCCAGTATGAGTACCTAATGTATGCCTCTGCCTTTTTCATGCTTCAAAAACGCCAGCTCTTTGGGTTACTTTGGTTTGAACACATACCTTCACTGTTACAGTTGTTGGCCTCCCAAAAATCCTAAGAACAGAGATAAGTTTCTAACCTTTGACTGTCTGCTCTGAGCCATTGAGAGCTGTCATTCCAACTATCTCTTTAAAGGTAACTTTATCACCAGTCTGTAATCCATGCATACGATTGTCCAATGTTGTCACCACACCAGGATTTGCCTGCAACACAGTTTTTCAACAAATGCTTTCAATTGATATAATGATAGCAAAAGATATGCCCAATGTACTGCAAATGGTAACAGCAGAATGGAACCAATATTTTATATTTGATACTGAACAATAAAAGAGTCCCAGTTTTTGCTTAGTTGTGAATAATTTCATGATACATGTACATTCCTTTTGATATTCCCTGTGCACCTTAGTGATGTTCCAAAGAAAGAATTCTTTTGGTTCTTCTCCTGTAGAGTCCAACACCTCAAACTCAGGTCCAAAATCACAGAATGCCCAGCTGAACACTCCATGTACACCTGCACTGATAAACTAAATAGNTAATTTGGGGAAAAACATAGGTTTTTTCAGAGGTTCCGATAGGTTGCAGAAGAAAGTCAAGTATTGGGGGATTTTCAGAGACAAGATTGCAGAAAAAAACGGGTGATTTCATGGGAATTTTGGGGACAAAATTTTGCTGAAAAAAGATTGATTTCTAAAATGGCCAATTTTGCAAGAATTTTCTGGGCACGTCTCCCTGGAAAGCAATCGGTTCTGCACTGATTTCAGGGTCTGCTGCTTGCCTGTGGTTTCAAGACTCCTTACCATTTGGACATGCGTTGCTGATTCAACATGTTTATCAACTACACTAGTGCTGTAGGATAAAAATTGAAAAAAAAACCCTTTGTAACCCCATTAATATTCTTGGCATTTTGACCTTTTCCAAAATCAATTTTTCTTTTTAGGAAATACCTCCAAGAGAATGCACAAAATAGCATTTCAGAACCTTGCAATTTCATGAACAAGCCCTTTACTCCCTAAATTAATGAGAACCCTGGGGCAAACATTTGTTTGTGTACATGTAGATGCCAACCAGCAAATTATGACTGTCAACAAGTATACCTGATAGTGAGTTAAGAACTCTAAGTTTCCATCACTAATTGAAGAAGTTGAGGTCTGAATGTTCACGTATGGATTCAGCTCAGCTAGCTGTGAAGCACTAGCCTCGGCTCTGGAGAAGCAAAATTTTAGATGATAAAATTACTAATTTTGGAAAAAATGCATCATTAATATTACTTTATCTTCCTTATTGCAGTGGACATATATATGCCAAATTATTTTTTTGGGGGGGGGGGTGGTACATGTATGTTAAATGACTGTGTGGTACATGTATGCTTTTGTGTGGTGTGTTATCGAATATCTAATTGTTGTTCTCCTGAATAAAGTCCTGTAACAAAGGTAAGCATTCCATAAAGGCCAGGCACAGCACGCCACACATTGCATGTTCAAGTTGATATCTATAAGTTGTAAACAATATTATTATAATATTAGTAATAATGAGTAGATAAATACCTATTTTTCTTGTCCCTAACATCTTTTTCTCGCAAGAAAAACTGGCTTCCCAGATCATGATAAGAGGCAACCTTGGTATCATGCAGTGTGATTGACTATTGAATAAATTAAATAGATATGGCAATTAAGGAACCTACCATACAGTATATTCAACCATATATGCTACATGCACAGACACTGAATGCAAAGAATTATAAATGACCTTTTGATCGAACTTGTCTATTGCAGAGATAGTGGCATGGTAGGAGGAAGCATTATGTCCTCTACTCAATAACTCGGCAATTCTGTAGCCTCAACCTGCCAATTTAATGAGTTCTTTTATTTAATTAATATAAATCAAATGAAGTATTTCATCTTATGGTATACACATTTCAACAAGTATATTGAAAAAAGTTTCTCTGTGAGTGCCAGGTGGGTAATTAAAAGCTATTAGAATACATGTGTTGAAAGCTGAACTTTCTAGACTAGCCGTTTTGTACTAGAGATCGGACATGACATTGTGTGACAAGCCAAACATTCTAGATAAGCCATTTTGTATTGTTTTGTAACCCGGATGTGACGTTGCATGAATTGTTGTACCCCCCTATAGGGGTTGTAGAAACATGTGCTCGAAGAATAAATATGGAGTCCAAACAACATGTAGTCTTCTAAATATTGGTCTTAAATGCCCACTAGTTCCAAAAAAAAAGTTTTAGGTATAATGCCATGGAAACCGTTGTAAACAGAGCAGCTAGCCACTGCTATAGAATCTAAACTGACTATGCCAAAGAACAGTTTTTTTGAAACTGTTTTTTATCGTTTTTACTTCTCAGGACCTACTGCTTCAAGTTTTACCTTAATTCCAGCCAGGACAACGTTTTTGGCTGAAAAGAAATCAATAAACTAATCAGTAATTATTAAAACAGCTACTCCCTAGTGTAGGTACAGTAGCTTGGGTCAGGCCACATAGTGCTCCTGGAGAGCTGGTTGCAGTAAGCCTGCACAACCAGACCGCAGCTCAAAACTGGCACGACATGGGAGGATTTTCGAAGAAGACCTGATCATATTGGAAGACATCTGAAGATTTTGACAAAATTCAGAAGATTTCCGAAGACATTTCAAACATTTTACAGTTCCAGTCACAGGATGTGTAACTTTTCAAAAACTATTTTCTTTCTTCACTTGGATCGGAACATCTTCCTATAGTTTTTGAATGTGCATCAGTTAAGGCTGCAATAGATTTATTTTTCAGCTAGGCAAGCATAAGGGCAAGAGTAAGGATGAGATCAGACTCTGATCCCCAAAATGTAAGGTTCACACCTAAGACATTAAACTTGGCAGGTATGACATAACAAAAAGCTTTAGCTGAAGCATTTGCTAGAGTGTCTTACCAATTTCTACTCCCAATCCGCCAAGCCCACTGAGAAACACTTTAGATTGTGCCATTTTGATCATTGCGCCATCACCAAGCATATATCGCTGACGACTGAGTAAATAAACACAGCTAAGTTATAATGATTCAATAACATCCTTACAGGCTTGCCATGTTTTGAGGAAGAAAGCTGAGAAGAAACAGTAGGCAGCCATAACAGTTTGTGTTTAGGTCCTAACTCTAAGACTGCAAACTATCCAGTGAAAATGCCCTAGACGTTGTACATGGGACCAATTTACAGGTCTAAACCTGCTAAAATACACTGACTGGGAAACGGATGCTTTACAAGTCTCTTTGGTGATATTTTATCAAATATAAAATCTTTTGTCAGCAAACAACGGTACAAAGAGGTAAAAGTATGTATTTAGTTGGCTAAAGATGTCTAACAAGCTGATGGTTGAATGGCCAGGCACCGGCCCTTTATAGGCAGGAAAATCTTCCTGAACTGAACTTCTTTATGAGAAAAAGAAAAATGTTGAAGATTGTCAAACCACGCAGGCATAGTCATTCTCACAATCAGTCACTTTGCCTGGTGTCCCATCTTTAATGAAATCCCTTAGAAATAAGAATAACTGGTTTATAATTTCTTTCATCTCACCTGTATAAAGAGTCATCAATTGCAATGTCAGTTGTGTTCTCCATTTTGTGACACAAAACAAAAAATTGATTCCTTTTTCAGTCGAATGGCAGTGTCAATGGCATTCACTATGGAAAGAAAAATAAAAATCACCTGGCCACTGGTGAAACTGAACCTATATTGTTACACTGTAGGTATGTATTCTTCTATATAGTAGTTAAAATTATGTGGTTAAATCTTCAATTCTGTGTGCCCTAATGAATAATCACAGTACAAAATAATAATGCCATCTTGGTTCATGACTAAGTACAAGGTGCATGGGTCTAGTGGCTCTGTAGTGTCAATCGACAATCTGCATTCCTTATGTTTCTGCATTTCTAAAGAAATGTTATTGAAGAAAATGGAAATTTTACCAGAATGTTGACCCTCATCCAGAGTCCAAAACAGTGACCATTAGACCACTGCCCAAGGGTTTAGACATTAAAAAAAAGAAATGGTTTTTAATGCTTCTATGGTACATGTATTTCAACATAAACCTAAACCATGTCAATCATGTCTTCATAAGCCTAAACAATTTTTCACATTTTTGGCTTCATGAAAAGCCAAAGCCTATAACTGGCTTATAGCTCTTGGCTTTTAAGTTACCGTATACCTTCTGACGTGTGTCATGTCCAAGCGAAACTGAGGAACAATTAAATTAAAATTTAATTAAAAAAA